CTGTTGTGGCCTCTCCCATTGCGGAGCACAGGCTCCGGATGCGCAGGGTCAACGGCCATGGCTCACGGGCCCGGCTGCTCCGCGGCATGTGGAATCTTCCCGGACCAGGGCATGAACCCGTGTCCCCCGCATCGGCAGGCGGGCTCTCAACCACTGTGCCACCAGGGAAGCCCCACAACACTTCCTTTTAAGACTTGAATTTACAGCATAAGCCTCCCCTGGCCTGATTGCTGGGAATGTCCAAGCATACATCTTGTCCTTTCGTCCTCCATTTCTCTTTCAGTCAGTCACTTCGAATTCCCCTCCTGAGCTCAGTCCTTTATCGGGACTAGACTATGTGCAACCCTATCCCATTTCTCTCACCCCAGTTCTTTGCCTTATAAAAACCTGCAGCACCCTCCAGCAAATTATTCTTCCTACGGGTCTGTTTTACTTCCCTGCTGCTACTGCGAGAGTAAAATCTAGGCCCAACATTTGAGGCCCCTAGCTCTCTGGTCCTGACGTAACCTTCCAGCTTCATCTCCAGCCATCTCTAACCTTTTACTCACTCTTAAGCTCCTTCTTCATCCCTTTTATAGACTGGAATTGTGCCCTTTCAAAATTCATATGTTGAGGTCCTAACCCTCAGTACCTCAGAATGTGACTGTATTTAGAGATAGGACCTTTAAAGAGACTATTAAATTAAAATAAGGCAGTTAAAGTAGGTCCTAATGCAGTCTGACTGGTGTCCTTACATGAAAAACTTTGGACATGCAAAGGGATACCGGGGGTGCATGTGAACAGACAAAAGACCATAAGGAACACAGCAAAAACGCAGCCATCTGCAAACAAAGGAGAGAGGACTCAGAATGAAATCAGCCCTGCTGACGCTTTGATCTTGAACTTCTACCCTCCAGAACTTTGAGAAATAATTTTCTGTTGTTTAAGCCACCCAGTTTGTAGTATTTCGTTATGGCAGCCCTGGCAAACTAATACAATCCCTAACTCTACCCAACATTTTGTTTATACAACCGGGAATGTTCCCTCTCCCATCTGTCCATGTGTGTCCATCTTTGAGCCCTCTCCTCATATATGACCTCCTGTGTTGCTTTCTCAGGCCAAACACTTAATATTTACTGCTTGGTATTATTAGTTTTCTTTCAATGGTTCATCTCCCTCAAGTAGCTGGAAAACTTGCCGAGGTCAGGTTTAGGGTTTTGCACTTTGTGTTTCTAATAAAATATCTCAAACATACTAGATACTCAAGAAGTATCAATCAGGGTGTTTTCAAGTATGATAACAGAAAACCATACTCATAATGGAAAATTTATTATTTCATATATTAAGTCCAGAGGTAGGAATTTGGGGGTTGGTTAATTCTTTAATTCAACAATATCATGATTGTTTCCATCTTTCTTCCAGCTCCCTTCACAGTACCAAGATGGCTCTGCTGTTATAGGCAGGTGTACAACCAGAAACAGCATTATTAGAAGAAGGAAGGAAAATTTTCTTCCAATGCACGTCTTTTGGGAAGAAAACTTCCCTGAATACCACCACCCCAGGAAATTGTATGTCATTAGACAAAACTGTGCCATCTGCTTGTTCCAAAGCAGTCACTAGCCAGGGAAGTGGCTTGACTGGCTGCGAGAAGTAAGTACATGCCCATGTGGGGGAAAGTAGTCAGGTGTACAAACTCCACACTGCCAGTTTAAAAAAAACCCTGGGGCTTCCCTGGCAGCACAGTGGTTAAGAATCCACCTGCCAATGCAGGGGACACGGGTTCGAGCCCTGGTCCAGGAAGATCCCACATGCCTCGGAGCAACTAAGCCCATGCACCACAACTACTGAGCCTGCACCCCAGAGCCCGCGAGCCACAGCTACTGAGCCGGCATGCCGCAACTACTGAAACCCACGCACCTAGATCCCGTGCTCCGCAGCA